CAAAAGGTACCAATAAAAATCTCACCCGGGGTCGATTCCCATTTTTTGAAAAGAATAAACTGCATGTACAGATTGTAAATAACCTCGCCTAGATTATTAGGTCACTAGTTTTCTAGCTGGTCCCAAGCCTGGATAAAGAGGGAGGGTTGGGGCGTGGTGCTAGCAACTCCACTCCCAAAACTTAACCAAATTGCTACAAAAACTTCAACGCACAAATATATTCAAAATTCTAAAATACAAACAATAACCTTATTTTTCGCTGAAATCGGGGAAGTGAAATGACGCAGGCTGGTGAAAGCCTTCAGGAAGCCAGTCAGCCGATGTGCCTTCTTTCGATGAAAGCAAAACTAAGGATGGGGACGTGGAATATTCGTACAATGTACGAAACTGGAAAGGCTGCCCAGGTAGCCCCAGAAATGAGAAGATATAAAATAGAAGTATTGGGAATCTGCGAGAGCAGATGGAACGAATGTGGAAGGTGCCAACTACCAACTGGAGAGACAGTTATCTATTCCAGTCACACACAGGACTACCACGAGCACACCGAGGGAGTGGCCATCACGATGTCACCAACAGTAGCCAAAGCTCTCATGCAGTGGTAACCAATCTCCTCCAGAATAATGACACCTAGGTTCAACTCAAAAGGAAGGAAGGAAGGTTACAATCGTTCAATGCTATGCGCCTACAAACGTCTCAGAAGAAGAGAAGAAGGAGGTCTTCTACAGACAACTTCAAGCAGTAATGGACAACATCCCAAATGGCGATATCAGAATCCTGATGGGTGATATGAATGCGAAGCTGGGAGGAGACAATACATGAAGAGAACTCACCATGGGTCGCGAGGCCCTCGGTGAAATGAACGACAATGGTGAACTCTTCTCAGACTTCTGCGCCTTCAGTGATTTGGTGATTGGTGGCAGTGTGTTCAAACACAGGAATATACACAAGGCGACATGGATTTCACCAGATGGACACACCAAAAACCAGATACACTCCATTTCAATCTCAAGGAAGTGGAGACGGAGCCTACTGGACACAAGATCGAGGAGAGGAGCAGATGTGGGTTAACACCACTATCTAGTACAAGGAACTTTGAAAGTGAGGCTAAAAGACTCGAGGATAGCTGGGGATAGGCCACAATGCAAGTTCAACACTCAAAAACTGAAGGACATAACCACAAAGGACACTTTCATTGCAACTGTCAGAGCAAAGCAGGAAACACTACGTGACATCACTGAGGTATCATGCGTGGAAGACCATTGAAACTCTCTGAAGGTGATTTTCAACGAAACGTGTTCAACGGTTTTAGGAAGAAAGAAGAAACAAGACAAGGAATGGCTCTCAACGGACAATTGGAAGCTAATAGAGGAGAGAAGAATTGTGAAAGAGAAAATGATTCAATGCAAAGACGGGCAGAGAAGGAGATGCTGAGTTCGACTTACACAGCACTGGACAAAGAAGTGAAGAAGTGTGCTAGGAAGTAAAGAAGACACTTCTGCGACAACTTGGCTACTGAAGCTGAGAAGGCAGCAGGCAAAAGGGACCTGAGGACATTATATCAGATAACCAAGTCTCTATCCGGGCAGAGATCAACACACCTGTGTACCACCTCTCTTCTTACCTTCCATTAACGCAACATTTTGTAATTTCCGCATGCATTTGACTGACTATAAGTATATTATAGATTGGGAATCATCGGCAGTACGCACCCACTGGGATTCGAACCCAGGACCTTCCGGTTACAAGGCAAGCTCGTATACCATTCAGCCACTGGGACCCGATTCAATGGCTTATGAATTCTAACTTCTACCAATTCGTGATTTTAGCGCGACCCCAAATATTGTCGTTGGTGGAAATCCATCCACACGTGACTTCTAATTGGACCTAACTGGTCACGACTTCTCACTAGAACTGCAGGAAGCTCCAACCTGTAGCAAGTCACTAGCGAGCATCAGAATAAACTAGGATGAAACAGCAGCTGTCCAGTACTCCCTGGTTTTCAATGGTTCTCAAACTGATATCAGTCCGTGATCAACTCGTAAGACATAACTAATCCTTACAAATCAAACTATAGAACATTATTCTGATGCTCGCTAGTGACTTGCTACAGGTTGGAGCTTCCTGCAGTTCTAGTGAGAAGTCGTGACCAGTTAGGTCCAATTAGAAGTCACGTGTGGATGGATTTCCACCAACGACAATATTATAGATTATAATTTGACTTGAACCAATACATTGTAGAAGTTTCTGGAGGTTTTTTTCCATCTGTCCAATTTTTAATGTCATAAAACTGTGTTCCATTTTAAATTGCACTTGTCAAATGTGATCATGCTTGTACAAACGGTATGTCAATAATGTAAATGCTTAATTTGTGTGAAATAAATATATTATTATTAATTGAAACCTATAAAAGACAGCCAAGGAAACTTAATTACCAAGGAAGAAAGACAGATTAAACAACGGGCGAATCAACTAAAAGAACTCTCGATTCGATCACCACCTGCAACTCGTCCAGAAATACCAACAATACAGCGTACACAACTGCAAGTTGACACCAATCCTCCAACGAAATCTGAAGTATTGAATGCAATCAAGCTTCTGAAAGCTGGAAAAGCACCTGGACCAGATGAAATACCCCCGGAAGCACTGAAAGCGGACCCGGAAACGACAGCAGATATGTTGACTCCATTATTGCAAAAGGTCTGGAAGGAGAGAAAGGTGCCTGCTGACTGGAGGAAGGGTTACCTCGTGAAACTAACAAAGAAGGGCGACTTAGGCCTCACTCTGCAAGAACTGGCGAGGAATCATGCTCCTGTCGACGCCAAGTAAAATCCTGAGTCGCATCATCCTGGAGAGAATGAAGGACGCACTGGATACAGAACTCCGCCAACCAGAACAAGCTGGATTCAGGAAAGGCAAATCATGTTCTGACCAAATTGCAACTCTACGCATCATCATCGAACAAAGCATGGAATGGCAATCAAATCTGTACCTCAACTTTGTAGACTTTGAGAAGGCTTTCGACAGCGCAGCGTTGACCGCGAAGTAATTTGGAAACTGCTCCAGTACTACGGCGTACCCCAAATATTCATCAACCTTATCCAGCAGCTGTACGACAACGGCACATGTCAAGTGATCCACAACGAAAAACTCAGCGAGGCGTTTGGAGTAAACACAGGAGTCAGACAAGGGTGCTTATTATCACCAATGATATTCCTAATTGTGGTGAACTGGATTATGCGTCGTCAGACAGTGGGAAACGAGAAGACAGGGATATCCTGGTCTGCCGTGAAGAACCTAGAAGACCTGGATTTTGCGGATGATTTATGTTTGATGTCACACAAAATCGAAGACTTACAATCGAAAACCGACAAACTGGTTGAAGAAGCAGCAAAGACACGACTCCAGGTGAACATAGACAAGATGGAGGTTATTAAAATAACCAACCAACAAAAACAACATCAGCAGCAGCAACATCCAGCGCCAATCACCATCAACGGGAGTGATTTGAAAGAGGTTACTTCATTCACTTATCTAGCTAGGGAGCATTGTCTCAACTACAGGAGGAACGGACGAGGATGTCAAATCGAGAATCGGGAAGGCGAGAAACACATTCATCAACTTGAAACCAATCTGGAAATCTTCGTCACTCAGAAACACTCAACAACAAAATTCGGATCTTCAATACAAACGTCAAGTCAGTCAGTTCTTCTATACGGATCAGAAACCTGGCGGGTCACAAAGAATATTTCCAACAGCCTGTTGCAAACTCTATACTGAAGATCAGATAGCCGGATAGATCAAGAACTAACAAGAAACTATGGGAACAAACAAAACAGGAACCAATCGCTCAACAAATATGCAGGAGAAAGTGGAGATGGATTGGACACCCGTTGAGGAGGCCGCTGGGTGACATCGCACGTCAGGCCATCGCTCGAGTGGAACCCAAAAGGGAAGCGGCGAGTGGGACGTCCAAGGGTGACATGGAGGAGATTGTGTGAAGAGAAGTTGAAACAGCATGGACTAACATGGATGCAGGTGAAAAGTACAGCAGAAGACAGAAGCAAGTGGAGACGTGCAGTTAAAGCCCTGTGTTCCACTAGGAACCCAAGGGAACAATAATAATAATACAGATTGTGAATAAAGTTGAAGCCACCTCACCAAGAAATTCGTCGGCGTCAAACAAACCGTTTTGCAAGAAAGGAGAGGGGTCTAGCTTCAGATGTTGATGTTGTAAGATGATAGGATAATTCCTTTACGCCACTTAGTTAGTGAATGAAACTCATCAGATTTGACCACTACGGAAGAATGGAAGCTATAATCGGCTGGATAATATGATGAGTCCATTGTTGCTTGATACTTCTTCTGGAAACCAAAATCAGAGAATGACATCTGTAAAGGTTCGAAACGAAGGAGTTAGATGGTTGCCCATTCTTATACCTGAAGAATCTAGGCGATTAGGACAGTTATTTTAGAATATTTTGAAGTCCTTTGACATCATTTCCCGTAGCATTACGCCCTAAACAGCTCGCCGTAGAAAACTGTTACAACAGTCGTGGAATACATAGTGATCACAGGAAACCCCAACTGTAAAGAAGTCTCGTTTACCCCTTAAGAAGGATGCCATTCTTTGCCTCATTATAATGCCAGGAAAATGATCATACATTCCTCTTGTAAATCATTAGCTATGCGACCGAATTCATCAGTCCTTCATTCATACTGAAAACCTTCATATCTGTTACTGAAGTGATATCATAGGTATCCCTAGGGAATACGTGAGGCAATGGCGAGTGAGGAGAGAAAAAGCATCTGCGATAAAATTTGTTTTGTGACTACGTATCTGTGTTGTGCTGCCACATGGCGCATTTACCACCCTGCCGATAATAACTTCATACAAAGGCTAGGCGAATACGGTAATTTAACTCGAAAGGATGAATAGTTATTGAAATTTTCCTGTTTGTAATTGCTCACATTTATTAGATTTTACGAACTTACTCTGGACAGGAAATATGTTGGGCATTGAATATTGAGTGGTTTATTGGTTTCAGTCGCTACTCGGGACTAGGATGTCCACAAATACTCCGTCTAGCGACTTATTTTCAACTTTTTACGAGGAGGTGAAGGCTATTGAAAAGAGAGATTCTGTCTTAACACCGAAACAACAAATAGACAGACTCAATCGACCTGGTTCGACTTACTTCAATCTAAATCCATATGATGTAGGCTCAATTTAACCGTTTTCGTTCAAACGTCTTCCTAGGTGTTACAAGTTGATCCTGATACCCCAATGGCTGACATCAAAAAGAAGTACAGACAGGTTTGCTTCTTATTATTACCTCCACTAATAAATGTGTCAGTTGTCACTGCTAGTTCACCCTGATAAAAATCCTGACGATACTGAACGGTCTCAGAAAGCTTTTGAAGGTAATTCCGTTTTTTTACTTTGTGAAATTATTATAGAAAAGCTGTAAACAAAGCGTATAAAGCTTTAGATGACCCGGAAACCTGTCGCAAGTGCAAAGAAGTGGTTGAAGAAGCTAAAGAACTAGTTGAACAGATGGTATCTATTCTTTCAGTGAAGTCTTCTAGCGTTTTCAGATGATTGAAAAAAGAAAACGCCTGAAAAAGTCAGGTGGTCCTACCACAATCGATGAGGATGATCCAGACAAGGTAAGCATAAGTGCTGCATATATTCCTAACTGGCACAGCATCGACACGCCATTTATGTACAAACATGCAAGTTGTTTGCAGACCTCGAAAGATTGAGAGTAGAAGAAGAATTAAAACAGTCATCTGATAGGTATGTTTCTGGATATATATTTTTTTAAAATGCTGTTAGCCTTGTTGATTGTGTGTATTTGTGTCTATCAATAACTAAATTGGAGTACATTGACTTTACGGAGATGACGAACAAATACTGATAAGATGCATTTATTGACTGTGTAGTATGGCTAATGAACTGCAAAGGGTAATGGCCAAATTAAACCTAAAGCACCACTAACTACCAATGAAGTGTGACGCACCAATGACGTTGAAACGCTCACTAAGCAAGTTAGTGAAACCTGACAAATAATGTCATCATCAATAAAATATGCTCATTGAAGTGTTATGCTATTAAATGCGATATCTGGCAAGTTCCAGGTTAAGTTTGTGAAAGGTTAAGTTACGCTTTAAGCCAAAGACAAGTTGGAGTTAGGTTAACCTTATAAAGGTGACGTTAAGATTGTTTCCAGTTACATTACAGTGAGTTAGAGGATATTTTCAGGTCAGGGTTAGGTTCAGGAAAAATCAGGCTTAGAATACCTAAATAATTACATGCAAAGAATGGGGTTAAATTACTCTGTTGATATAAGAATAGAACATGTGAACTGTCCTGGTAGTTATAAATCCATTGTGGGTAAAATTTATTTTGATAAAGTCCCACAGTGTTAAACAGTAATATTTACTGATGGCGTTTCCAGCACAGTTTATTGCTCAGTAAATATTGCTGTATAACACTGAGACTTTATCAAAATAAACTTTACCCACAATGGAATTGTACACTGTTGATAATCCAATCTAAAATTGATAGCTATTTTTATCACATGTGAGACAAAGGTATCGTCTGTAACACTTTTGTACAGTTTGCATGCATTTTTCCATAAATATATGAATTCTATACACAAAAAGGTCTCCTTCATGTGACTGGTGCATTCAAGTCATTCGGTGATTGGTAGTTAGTTGATGGTGCTTAAAGTTTAACTTTGACAGGGTTAATTATGGAAAACGGCCTCATTAGTGGCTCTGAACATTCCTATAGGTAGTCGGGGACCCACGCAACAATGCGTAAAAAAGTGCGTCATCCCAACCCGCAAAACTTCAAAGGAATGAATTGGTGCTACAGTAGACATTTAATGGTATGGGACTGTTTATATGTGATTAAAACTGCTTGTGGGTCGCCATCATATATCCAACCAATGATTCTTAACATCCTGATACCCACAGCTAAGCAGTCACCCGATTTTTTAGGGGAAAGCATGGACGCAGAATGTAGATATTTTAGATAATGAATAATACTGAAGGTGAATTGAATTTTTGAAATGAGTAAAGAAAAATATTTAAAAAAAATTAATAGTCAGAGTACCAGTGTTTATGTTTGGTTTGTGAAGTGTGACAGCTTGTGAACGGGTCCACTTTTGTACAGAGTGAATTTGGGAGGAGTTAACTGTATGCTGTTTAACCTTCTGGGAAGAGGTGAAGTAGAGCTCCATTAAAATACTGCAGTCCTTGTGACTCTAAGCTCAGTATCTACCATAACAAGCCTAGTAAAAGCAGTTCCTACGTGGCTGCCTTAAACTAACTGTTGTGGATTTTTGTTCAGCGAAGAAATTTCTTTTCAACGACTTCATTTTCAAGCTGTACAGTCGTATTTATATTACAGAAAAGGTTATTAAGTGGCACTAAATAATTGCTCAGTCAATATACATATATGTGATGAGAATAACGATAATTGAAATGTTATAAGGGGTAGAGTTAAAGTGGATAAATTACAAAATTATTAAAGATTGTTTTATGAGTGAATTGAAATCAAAATGTTGTGGATTTCACTGACTGATGGAGTTATGTTTCGGTTGATTTGACCACCACGGACTCTTTTGCAACTTGATTCTATGTCAGCTAACATTGCCCGTTGATGAAAGCCGTGACATTCATCTCCCTCTTTTAAATAGTAGTCTAATATCAGCATTTACCACGTTGTTCCACATGACATTAAAAAAATTCATGAAAGTACCTAGAGGAGAAACGGTGTTGTTGTTTTCATGTCCTCCATGTCTATAATTCATCTCTTTCGTGACCCATAAAATATATCATCGTTATTATCACCGTTATTACTATTCCTCTGTCTCACACCTCTGTTTACTGTCTATATTATGCATTTCTACTTTCTTCTCTTGCTTTGCGTGCTACATGGATTGTGGCGACTTGCACTGCCGCACATATGTGCAAAGTTCTATGTCGAAAACCGACCGACCGATCATCGTTATGTCACGTGGCTATGTCCATCTAACGTATGCATAATGTTCAAGTATTGGTTTTGTAGGGATTTTGTTTGATTGCATGGAGGATTTCATCATGAGCTGACATCAGTTAGAGAACCACTGGAAAACCTGAGAGTACTGGACAGCTGTTTCGTCCTAGTATGGGACTCCTCATGAGTACGCACCCACCAGGATTCGAACTCAGGACCTTCTGGTTACAAGGCGAGCTCGTAGACCCTTGAGCCACTGGGACCCGATCCAATGGTCCTTGAATTCTAACTTCTGCCAATTCACGACATAGCGGGACCATTTCACAATGTGGGAAGCCGTGACCAGTAGGGTACAGCAGGTTGAAGATGAGGCAGTAACTCATCGAAGACGACATTGCGAAATGGTCGCGCTATGTCGTGAATTGGCATAAGTTGGAATTCAAGGACCGTTGGATCGGGTCCCAGTGGCTCAATGGTCTACGAGCTCGCCTTGTAACCAGAAGGTCCTGGGTTCGAATCCCGGTGGGTGCGTACTGTGAAGAGTCCCAAACTAAGACGAAACAGCTATCCAGTACTCCCAGGTTTTCCAGTGGTTCTGTAACTGATGTCAGCTAATGATGAAATCCTCCATGTATGCATAATGTTGCGATAACACTAAGAACAAATTTCAGTTTTTTGTATACCACCTGCTCACATTTAATGTAATCACAGTTTATTCGCCACTTTCCGTAGACAATATCACACCACCTGTTCACCTGTAAGCGTCCACATATATTTATTTTATTTCAGAAAGCGTAAGGCTGAACAAGAAGCCGAAGAGAAGAAACTCGTGGAATATGATAAGATATGGAGGAAGAACTATGAAGTAGGTGCATATTTTTTCTTGAAAAAAAGTTATTTATTATTGTAATTGACAAGTCTTTATTTCAATGATCCTATCTTGCAATTTGTAACCCTGTCATGTGTGTCACATCATCTTTTCATCGCTTGTCTTTGAAGTTACTCGGTCACCGAAATTTGTAACGACAGAAGACAAGGTACATTATTATTATTATTAGCGTTATTGTTGTTAGCAGAGAAGCAACGTCTTCTGATTGGTTGTTTTCTGTCTGAAGCTTCTTCTGTCATCCATATCTTTGTGGCCGTTTCATAGAAAGTCAGGCCATATGTCTGCAAATCCTATTTTCTCACCTTAAGTTTGCTGTGATTGGTTTTTACCATCCCGAGGACTCCAACCAGGAAGCCAGTCTACACCTTCCTACGTGGCTGGCTGCCTTAAACTAACTGTTGTGGATTTCACTGACTGATGGAGTTATGTTTCGGTTGATTTGACCACCACGGACTCTTTTGCAACTTGATTCTATGTCAGCTAACATTGCCCATTGTCGAGAAAGCGATGGCTAGGCATATGTATCGCGTGTCTTAATCACCTCAACCGACTTACTTTCACATCCTCGTCGATTGATTTCCTAGTCTCTGACTAGCACTCGACTGCTGACACCTAACCTCAATATTGCTCACCCTATTGTACCATTTCACGGGTACCTAGGATCAAAGAAAGCTAGCCGGGTGTTTCATGTCTTCCACTTTCAATGGCCAGGTCTCACAGTCAGCCATAAAGGAGGACGTAGCGAACTACTGAGCAGTACACACGCCCTTTGCTCGGCAGCCAGCCGGATATCACGTCTATTAAGCCAGAGGTGGCGTAATTTGGCAGGCATATGCCAAACGAACCTTCTGCATCCGTGCTGATATTTCGTCAGCTATCAACCTACTGCCTTCGGTTGATGCAACTTCCTAAATAAGTGAAGTGGTCAACACGCCCCACCAACCAATTCACTCCTTATTTCTAAGCTAGGAGTCAGTGTAGTCCAGTTCTGCAACAACATCGTGCATTTAGCGGGAGCAAATCGCATGCCAAACATCCGAAGATTACTGATCCTCAAGGTGTTCAGAAGACTGTGTCTGCATTTTGTCAGCGTATTCTAAGTCAACGAGATTATTCCTTCCATGGTGGCAACAAGTCATTCGTTGAGTGGCTGAAGTCACTTAGGTTTAAGTCCATCGGTTCATCTATGATGAAATCAAACAGAAATTGGGATAGTGGGCATCCCTGACGGACACCACTGGTTGTCATTACTTCAGATGACAACTCTCCGTAAGCTCTCACCTTGCTGACTACATGAGTTCGAGTAGAGTGAGTACCTTGATTAGTGCAATGTATTTTCTCGGCATTCCCTTCACAGACAAACATCGCCATAGTACCTGTCGGTCGACAGAATCGAATGCCGCCTTTAGGTCAAGAAATATAACGATTGTTGGATGCCTGCTGTAAGTATGTCTATGTTCTAGAATCTGTCGAAGGGTGAAGATATGATCAATACATCCTCTTCCTGGCCTGAAGCATACCTGGTTCTCTCGTGTTTGTGCCTCCCGAGCACCTCTTAGTCTGCGCATGATTATTGAACCTTGTACTTTAGATACCATACTAGTCGAGGTAATCCCCCTGTGATTATCACAGGAAGACGTGTCTCCCTTCTTTTATGTCGGGATAATCAGTGACTTACACCAGCCCGATGGGATTTCCTCTGATTCCCAGACGCTGCCTGATACCTTAGTTAACGCAGACAGTAAACTGTCTCCACCGTCGTTGAGCACCTCTGTAGTCATTCTATCAGGTCCCGTTGCTTTGCCTTGTTTCAGATTAGTGACAGCTTTAGTAACCTCAGTTAGGGACGGAGGACCTGTGTTTATATCCCATTCAGAGAGGTGTTGGATGTTCGGTAGGTTGAGCGTGGCTGTAAGCCAAAAGAATTGCTCCAGAAAGTGTTCTTTCCAGCGTTCCAGTCGTCTATCCTGAGAGCTAATTATAGTGCCATTTTCTCAGACATTGTCTCCACTTATCATTTGCCTTTTTACCACCTGTTTCTCTGATAAGTCTAAATAGTTGTCTGGTGTTACCTATCGTCGATGCCTTTTCCATCTCTTTCGCTTTTGTCGGCCACCACTGTTCACGGTCGTTGCGTAGGCTTCTTAGTATTTTGCATTTGAGCAGATTTCGTTCCTCATCATTTGGAGCTCGCCAGAATCAGTTTTCTTGCGTTAATCAGTTCGTGTGAGGTAGTAGAAATCCACTGGCTCTTACTGATGTTTGGTTGTAGGTTTTAGGCATCAAGCTGTAATTAAAAAAATTAACAGCTTTTACAGCTGTCTACAGCTAACTGCACGTTGTACCAGCCAGGCTTCCTCAGGAGGCGAAGGAGTCTTGGTGTCAATCTCAGATACTCGTTTCACCATTTCTTCCTTAAATAGGGATGCAGAGTCTCGATCTAGTTGGGGACGTAGTTGCTTCGCTGTCCACGCACGTGTTCCAGAAGGAGCGGCAGTCTTCTACTGACCCTCGCCAACAATACCCTATCGCTATGTGCTTTATTTGGGTCCAGCGTTGATTTGGTGATGGAAGTCGCCAGGTTACACAATGTGTCTGTTTGAGCCTAAAGTTAGTGCTGATTGGGAACAGATGATTATCTGAACATAACTGTAGAAGACGATCACCGTTGTCGGTTCGTCGGCAGGGAACTCCGTATGTACCACTTATGAACTTCTCAGTCTGGCCTAATTTGCTTTCTTGGGGATTGTTGAAGTCGCCTGCTATCTGAGCGTTTTGCTTTTTGCAGCAAACTAGACAGTTTCTGGTAGAGATAGATCGGTTGGGGCATAAGCGGAGACTATGAAAAGACAACGATGGGTAACGCTGTCTTTCCTTCTTCTAAGGGACCCGTTCAGACGGACAGCACACATACGACTATCCACTGGGATCCAGTCAAGAAGTGATTTTTCTGCCCTAACGCTCAATGCTATGCCTACACCTGCAAGTCCTCGCGAAGCAGCTGAGGAGTCTCCAGACATTCTTAAGGTGAATTTTGCAGATTTACCTTGTTGGTTGGGTGGGGTTAAGCGAATGAAAACACTCGGGTCTTGTATGTGTGTCCCTGAAACACAACATACGTGCATGTTTCGAGATGTCAGAGTTCTTGCTAGTGATGCCTGTTGTCTGATTTGGCAGAGGGTCCTTACGTTGAGTGCTCCTGCATGAATTTGGTGGTATGGCTTTCAAAGGCTGTGGGGGGGTGTTTCTATGCCTCTCATCGTTGTTTGTAAAGGTGACTCACTAGCCTGCAGAATAGTGCTGACTGTAGTAGGGAAGTAAGATGATGAGGGTTACAGTGATAAAGGAGAATGATGATCAAGAATGCTTTGTGTGCTTTTGGAAGTGTGTGGGTGGTTGTTACTCCTGTCTGCCTACACCGTGGAAGTTGATTTATTCTTGGGGTGCGTGGAAGAGAGAGAGAGAGTTAGTGCTGCGTGACAGCAGCCCAGGGGACAAACGCTTGAGGTCGGCCAGTTGCACACGGCCTGTATGAACTGGTTTCTTGGATTGGTTCCGTATTAGTAACTTACCACTCTGGTTCCGGACCACCGTAGGTTAAGTCGGGATGTACAGTTTTTGGGGTTGGCCTTTTCTAATACCATCTCTCCAGAGTGGAGAGACGGAATAGCTGGCTGGCACGCTGGTCACCTCAGGGAAAAACCTTACTGTTGTTACATCCTTGATCCCCAGGAGTATGAATTCGCCCACAGAGACTCATCATAGTGCAAAAAAAGAAATCTTACACTATGATGGTCACTGCTTTTAGTGTAATCCCTGTCCTAACAATCTTCCTGGCATGGTAGGACCTGCAGGAACATTGGTTCCAGCCAGTGTATCTTGTTGGGCGATTGCGATATGCAAGCCCGACGACCACTACATCAAGGTAGCAGGTATTGGTTGGTGGGGGGGGGGCGTGAGTGATGAGAATGAAAGGCATCTTGTAAATAAAGCAAAGCTATTATGTCTTAGAATGTACTGTCGTATTGACTGAAGATATTCCGACTTAAACTTGTCACTTCCGTTGATAAAGTTTAACATTAGAAAACTTTCATAAAGTTTCACTAGGTATACACTTAAATTTATTTATTTAAAACAATTAGTTCCCTTTATGAATTTAGACAAAGCAATAAGAAGGCGTAATTTGTCGGAATCGTGTGCATTGTGTATTTGCGTAACACATTTCGAATAATCTGATCCATCACACACGGACTTGTCATAGGAATATATATATATATATATATATATATATATATATATATGAAATTAATAAAAAGTTAAGAGGTGGGTGAGAAAATAGACTTCTTAGGTCAAGTTAAAAGGAGGACATATTGAAGGTTAAAATAACGGTTGGAGACCACTAAACCAAATAGCAGAGGTAATAGTACATCTGCACTGGCTGGTATCAAAACAAAATTTACCAACAAGGAAGGTTTATTGTGATGACGAATTGCTGCTTTCAACTCACAAAGGTGGTTTAAACTTCCTAACTACCAGCTAGGGCTTCCCACAAACTTTAGGATACGCCCTCCCCCAAACACGCTTTTATAGATAGGTTTAAAAGATGCGTTGATGTCAATTTTATGTCCTGTCTCCTCTACAATATGTTTCGCAATAGAGGAGCTAAGTCTTCGTCTCTTCTCACCATTAATGGGTTCTGAAGATTCCATTTGTTTCTGGAGCCACTTAGGAATATGCTCTGAAGCCAGCTTTTACTTGCAGAGATCGATGAGTCCTCCCTATGTATGTGTGTGTATGTGTCCACACGTACATTCAAATTGGTGAATACTGTGAGAGGATGTGACATCATTTTTTGCATGTTCGAAGAACTTAGATGGATATATTGGCTTCACACTCTCAATTATTATGATATTAGCTGCATAAAAAGTCTTTTTGACCACAACGGCGTTCAATGTTTGTCTAGTTATCAAGCTGCTATGATCCCCCCCCCCCATATAAGGTAGCTTGATATACACGTCTTTCTTAGGGGCGAATTGTAGACAGTGGGTCTTGGTGTTCCACTGACTACTTTATATCACCTGATGATGAACTTGTCTGGATAATTGTTATCACCAACCAGGGTGAGTTTGTGTCAACTTTCTTTCCTCATCATCAAGTGTGTCTGTCTTCAGTGTGCATATTCGTTGGATTCTACTGAAGAGGCACGTCGCTCACCAAAGGCTCTTATATTTATCTTGGGATTAAACTTTTTCTGCAATGAAAGACACCAGGTAAGTCGAGAAAATAGGCTCTTTCTCACCGTTTCACTAATGGCTTGGTCTGTATATATTCCACTAGCAAAACGAAAAAGATGGGTAAACATGGTCGATATCTCTAATTCATTATTCTCTATTTTTGTTTTTGTTTAAAAAATCTTTCAAAGGAAAGTCGTAGTAATCGTGTTGCAAGTTGGCGGGATTTTAAAGAGAAGAAATCGAAAACATCGAAGGGTATTGGCGGGTTGAGACCTCCTAAAACAAAGATGGAACAGCGGCCAATGTAAAACAATCGAAATTGTATTTTCGTCCTTCTCAAGAAATGGACCTTCTGTAAAAAAAAGATTCCTTCCTCCCCTTTTTATGCATATTCACATTTGCACATACTTAATCTGTCTGTATATGTTGTATTTGTGTTTTTTATCCCAGAAAAATTAAAGAAAAAGCGACTCATTTTATCATATCAAAATTTTGTTGGAGTTTTATTATATAATAGTTCACAGAAATGGCGATATCAGTCATTTTATCGGGTGTCATTTGAATTTTCAAATTCAATTCTCTTGATAATATAATATAATATAATTATTATTATTGTTTCCTTTAATTCCTAGAGGAACATAGGGCTTCAGCCGCGCACGTTTCCATTGCTTTCGGTTCTCTGCTAAAGTTTTCACCTGGTTCCAAGTCTGACGACATGCTTTCATCATCTCCTCTTCACATGAACTCCTCCAAGTCACCCTCACCCTCACGCTGACGACCAACTTGCCGCTTCCCTTTCGGGTTCCACTCGACCAATGGCGTGTCTAGTGATGTCGCTTGATGGTTTGTTTTCTCAGAGTATGGCCACAATCCAATCCACCTCCATTTCTTCCTGCTTATTTGTTGCACAATCGGTTCCTGGTTGGTTTTTTCTCACAGGTCCTTATTGCTGATCTTTTCTGGCCGGCCATCTGGTCGTGAGTATTGAGCGAAGACAGTTGTTGATGAAGGTGTGTAGTTTGTTCTAAGTGGCCTTCGTGACGCGCCAAGTCTCTGATCCGTATAGTAGCACTGACTGACTTCACATTGGAGTTGAAAATCCGGATCTTATTTTTGATGCTGAGTGCTGTTCATCTCCTCCACACAGACTTGAGAGTAATGAAAGCTTGTCTTGCTTTCCCGATCCTCGCTTTGATATCCTCGTTAGTTCCGTCTGCTTGTAGTTGAAACGATGCTTCCCAGGTAGGTGGGTAGGTAGGTAAAGGAGGTTGTTTCTTTCAGGTTCCTCCCATTTATTCTGGCTGATTGTCGTCTGTTGGTGTTGGCCAGGAATCTTTATCCTTGCCTCTGTTTTCTCTATGTTCACCTGAAGTCCTATCTTCTCTGGATGCTTCTTCTGTCAACTTGTTGCTTTTCACTTGCATATCTTCCAGTTTGTGGGAAGTCAGACATATATCATAGGCGAAGTCCAGATCCTCCAAGTTTTTTGTATGAGTCCATTTTATGCCTGTTTCCTCGTTGTGTGGCCCGCTGTCTGTCGCATTATCCAATCTACTGCAATCAGGAAAATCATTGGTGATATTAGGCAGCCAGCCAGCTTGTCTTACTCCCATCTTTACTTCTTCTTCGAAGGATTCCGTAAGTTTCCCGTTGTTGATTACTTAGCGGCATGCAGCATTGTCGTACAACTAACTGTTGGATGGCTGAGATGTATAATTGTCGGCGGCACGCCTTGATAGTAGCGAAGTAGTTGCCAAATAATAAGCTATCCCAAATAAATCACTGCAGCATATTTCCCGGCGACAAAGTAATCAAACTTATCTGAAGCATTCCCATCATCCTCATCATCTCTACCATCATCCGATAAGCTGATCTCATCAATATCAACTTCTGGTAAATGTTGTCGTGGTTCTCCAGTCAAAGTGGAAGGCGCACCTAGAATGAAGGAAACGAAGGTTAACACAATGTTTATGATATATGCACGCTGAAATATGAAGGACTATCCGGGGTGAAGCGTCGACGACATATTATGGACTATTTATATATATTAAATCACCTCAACACACTAATTCACGCCAAACTTTCATCCCACGGCCAAGTTAAACTTTAAGCACCACTAACTACCAATAATGGAGTGTGACCTCCCACCAATGACCTTGAAGCCCTCACTGAGCAAGTTAGTGAGACCTGGCAAATAAATAATGTTGTCATCATCAATAAAATATGCTCATTGAAAGTGTTATGCCATTTAAATGGGATATCTGGCGAGTTCCAGCTTAAGTTTGGGAAAGATTAAGTTACGCTTTAAGCCAAGGATAAGGTAGGGTTAGGTTAACCTGATAAAGGCAACATAAGGTCGTTGGTCCGAGTTAGATTACAGTTAGGGTTAGGGATATTTTCGCGTTAGAGTTATGTTTAGGAAAGATTAGAGTTATTGTTATGGTTAGAAGACCTAAATAATTACGTGTAGGGAATGTGGTTGTGCACTGTGGTAGAGTAAAGTTCCATTGCGGGATAAAATTTATTTTGATAAAGTCTCACAGTGTGTTATACAGTAGTAATATTTACTGATGACAACGTTTCGAGCACAATTTATTACTGTATGACACTATGAGACTTTACCAAAATAAATTTTACCCACAATGAAATTATACTCTGTTGATACTCCAACCTAAAACTGAGAGCTAATTTTATCACATTTGAGAGGAAGGTATCCTCTGTAACACTTTTCTACAGTTTTTATGCATTATTTCATAAATAAATGTGTATTGCGTACACAAAAATGCCTCCACGTGATTGGTGCGTTGTTCGAGGTCATTCGCTGATTGGTAGTTAGTTAGTGGTGCTTAAAGTTTAACTTTACCCATCACACTTATCAGTCAACTAGGAGAACAATCAGTCTGATTTCCAAAGGCACTACTAAGCAGGGTATACTCTACTATGTGATGTGTACCTTTTGTATGCATCGAGATTTCAAACAATCGATGACGTGTCTTCTCTGTTGAAAACACAACAATCTGCTCACGTGTATATTTACGGACGTTGGAACTTTTTGATAAGTAAACACACTCGAATTAATTCAGTGTATAAAAGATTTCACATTCTACACTTTAGTAGCGAATCATTCCCTGTGAGCTCAATTACGTGGAGTGCTACGTCTGAGTATAGTGAAGAGGATATATGCCATAAATGTAGGAATGCTTGGCAGTCAGTAAAACTGAGATGATTGCGGCCTATATTCAGATAATTAATTCTGATATAAGTATAAAACTTGGGCACTGTGGTGTGGTAGAGTATAACTACTCCATTATGGAAAAGATTTTATTTTGATAAATCACACAGTGTAGTGTTATACAGTAATATGAACTGATGACCACACACTTCGAGCACAATTCATTATTGCCACTCATAATCATCATATCAACTCAATCACACAACTTTCGTCTTCCTTCATTTATATACATGAGTGGAATTGATGATGATTAGACATTTGAATACAAATCAGTAATATGGGATAATGTACATTCAGAAACAACACTAATAATAATATGAGTGTTATTGATCAATTACAATTAGATGGGAAATAAGATGAGTGTTTCTTTTATAGTCATAATAAGTGAGTAACTTGTCAGAATGTTGTGATGTATGTGAAACTAGTAATCATAACATAAATTAGAGAGAATATAAGTCATCCACTTTTATACCAAATAAGGAGGGGACATATGACACCCTCCCTGCGTTGGATTCTTAATAACAAAGCAGGAATTAGGCTGGTGATGGCATTCAAACCTACAAACTCACACAAACTGGTAGAAGCTCTGTAGGTTAAATTACTCTATCGGTGGACCCAATTAAACAAAATAATATCATTTAAAAAATACCCTGTAATGACTGTGAGTTAGGTCAACTACCTACATAGGTCGAATCAGTAGATCGGGGATAATCAGATTGTCAGAACATACGAATTTAGCTAAGGTAAGAATAGTTGACCCCGAGAAGATAAGTAATTTAGAAAAAGCTCAGCACTACATTGCACTGCATGCATGCATTAACACACAATCACACAATAGCATGGTGGGATAGGGTTAAAATTCTAAGCAGTAATCTATGTAAGTGGAGATAGAGAGAAGTTGATTACTGAATCCTGCCTGGTTCATCGAGTCTACATCCAACACGACACATGCAACAGAAATGACTCAATGCAAATACCAGCTATATGTATGGAAGATATTATTACCACCAGTCAGTCAGTCAGTCAGTCAGTGAAATCAGAGGAGGATAATAAATAATCTTAAATTGTATTCTATTTCAATTCAATTCACGTACATCACAACATTCTAACAAGTTACTCACTTATTATGACTATAAGAAAAACACTCGTCTTATTTCCCATCTGATTGTAATTGGTCAATAACATTCATATTATTATTGTTATTTCTGAATGTACATTATCCCATATTACTGATTTGTATTCAAATATCTAATCATCAATTCCACTCATGTATATAAATGAAGGAAGACGAAAGTTGTGTCAGTGAGTGAGTGACTTGATATGATGATTATGAGTGGCAATGATAATAAATTGTGCTCGAAGAGTCGTGTGGTCGCATCAGTTAATATTACTTACTGTATAACACTACACACACTGTGGGTGACAGTTTGTCGAAATATAATCTTATCCATGAAGGAATACATTGTTGATGACATTTATACATCTAAATTACAATCTGTTTCTTGACCATCGTTATCTTTGTTCTCTTCAGCCATACAGGTGTAGACAAAGATAGAAGGTGATTGGCACATCTTGATTTGTCTACCGTCGGCTTGTCTCCATGTTTTGCATGTGTGTGAGATGGAGAATTCCGACAGGCTTTTATGTACAGCAGTAACTGTCCTAAATAGTTGAATGTCGACTGTAACTGGCCGACATGTTGCTGCTAGGCTATAGAAATAAATACACATTAGAATCAATCTGTGCGAGAATACTAGTTCGGTGATAATTGTATGTCTTTTGGCTAACCTAGCAACATGCCACACTTCAAGGGAGTCGTGAATATGTCCTCTTTATTGCTGTAGTCAGGTGTTGGTATAGAATTCCTGTAGACGTATGGCTCTTGAATTGTAGGGAGATGTAGACTTCCTGGTTGGGGTCCTCGGGATGGTAAAAACCAATGGTTGGAAACAATTGGTGACATGGCTCAAAATCGTTCTCAGTGGCGCAGATGCATCCACTCCTTGTGACTTATGATTTCCAATTAAACTTTTGTTCTCCGTTATTACTATTCCTTTGTCTCACACCTCTGTTTACTGTCTCTAATATGCATTTCTCATACTTCCTTCTCTTGCTTTGTGTGCTACATGGAGTGTGGCGATTTGAACTGCCGCACATCAGTGCAAAGTTCTATGTCGAAAACAGACAGACAGACAGGAATTGTAGACGTTAAGATTTAGGCTTTTCGGCTACCGTCATGTGGTATGTTGGTTTTTATGAGTTGTAGAAAGTCGTCCTCACACGCGATATCGTGGAGTTGCCTCCACTCTACGCAATCTTTGGGTCAACTTCAACGATAAATGAATGATAAATTTTAACTTTGTTTTCTAGAGGA